GAGAATTCTGTCTCCAGAAGCAATTGCTCAGCCAGGAAGAAGGCAGGAAACGGCTCCAGCAGCTAACTATAGGACTTCTCTGCAGCTCTCTGCCAGCCTTCCTTATTTTAGCAGCAATAACTAAAAACACCTTCTCAACCCCAGTTCCAGAATTGGAGCTGCCATTTCCTGAGTCAATTTTCTTTTTTCTTTTCTTTTCTTTTCTTCTCAGGATTTCACAGTGTAAATCCTGTTGTCAACCTCCTCCTTGTTAGACTGGGGCTTTACGTTCTTTCTGCCCCCAAGGCTGATTTCCAGCCTGTTCACTCTCTTTCCAGCCTCTAGGATCAGTTTTGCTGCTGTCTTTCTTCTCGACCTGTGTAAACTTCTGTGCTTTTCAAAATCTCTGTTCTTTAGGCCTTTGTAGAAGGGTTTCAGAAGAAGTCAAAATGAGGTGAGATAGTCTATCCTGTTCTATGACTTTGTTTTCTTAATTGAGACAGAGTCTATGTATAGTACAGGCTGCCCTCAAACCTGCGATCCTCCTGCATCAGCCTCAGCATGAGTCAGCTATTCACAGGGCTTATTTTAAATTTAAAAATATATATATACATGTGTTTATTTTGTGTGTCATACTTGTCACAACACACATACAGAGGTCAGAGGACAACTGTTCCTGAGAAAGATGAACCGGTTCTTTCTTTCCATCATGTTAGGCCTGGGGATCAAATTCAGCATCAAGACCAGTGGCAAGTGCTATTACCTACTGCTAGACCCACAGGATCTATTTTGAAACTCACATCTCAGTTCACCGTTCCTCTCCTGTAGCCAGCAGATCTAGCTGCCTACATTTTCTTGACTTTTCCCATTCTTTCATGTGACAGAGGATGCTCATAGCTAGCTGGTACTTTTTTTTCCAAGACCCAGAATGTCATCTCAGGAGATCTTGACTAGCGGTACAGTTTGGTCACCAAACACATGACTTCTTGCTTTCCTCATCTCAAGTTTGCTGCTGTTGTCTGGACCATCATTAATCTTCACATCTGGGAATGGCTTTTCAGAAAGTCAGTGTCAACTGATTCAACCATGGAAGTCAGTTAAGCAAATGTTGGAGAAATGAGTTGTAAATAAAATAATTTGTTCCTTAGGCTCAACTTGTCAAAAAACATTTTTTTTTTTTTTTACAAGGCAGCCTTGGCAGAGACTTTAAGTACAGAATTTTCATCGGTTTAAGTTGGGACCTAGACGGCTCAGGGAAGAAATCCATCCAAATTTGCCAAAACAATGGCTGGAGGAGTCAGGGAAAAGCCGCATCCTTGACGCGGCCTCAGAATCTTCAAACAGCACACTGAAACCAGCTGGACCAGGTTTAAAATTTAATGCCTGTCTGGTCTGGGTTCCTCACTTCCGCCACTGTCGGGTCCACTGCTCTGAGGTTAGAGTTTTCTGCTCAAAGGCATGGATGTGCCGGAGCTCTTCAGCGGGAGCTCTTCAGCTACGCACTTGTTCACCGCACTTGTTCACCAGCCGGTGTCTCTGAAGCAGTGGCTTTCCCTCGAACTTAGCCGATACCACCAGGACTCGGAAGCTGGTCGTGCAACGGTTCAGAGTCATGTCCTCCACCTCCACATGTTCTGCCTCCAGGTCCTGCCGCAGCTTCTCACGGAGGTAGTCGGCGCTGAGTTCCATGACCACAGCCCGGCGGGGCCACAGCCCGGCATCAAAAAACATTTTTGATAGTTCTCTCCCTCTTGATACTTTCCCTGGGAAACAATGTGTTTGTTTAGTAATATGCAAGTCTGCCTAATGGCACAAACCACTTAAACATTAATCTCAGTCAAATAAGGATGGTTTATTGAACGTCACACCCCAGGATTGACTGATCAAGGCCATGGGTCAGACTTGGGAGCTGACTGTGACATTGAATCAAGATCCCATAGGGCTTTTTAAGCTTGAGATCCACAAACATCTATGCCAAGTTATTCTGCCAATCGGGATTTAGGGATAGGAGGTTTCCTTAGGAACATGCCTTTGTTGTACACTTATCCTGCTCCCATTGGTTGGGATAGTCTACTGTGACAGGGGACTTGCCTTGTCTAACATTCATGCCTTAACTTGTCAACCCAGGATGTCAGTTACCCATGTGCATGTCTCTTTCTGTTAAATAGGATGTCAGTTCCCTGGGAGGTCTTGGGAACTTAAACTTTACTCAACCCCTACTCAAAATGGAAGTCTGATTCCAAATAGTTTCTTATGTTGGTGCAGGTGTCTCTCCTATGTTGGGGTCCATCCCAGGGGCAGCTTATAAAAGCAAATACCATAAAAGCTTATACACACAGGTACCGAAAGTGCTGCTGGGTAGTTGATTCTGGTTCAAGCTTATTCTGGGTAATTACACAAAGCAGTTCTACTGACTTCCACCATATTTGGTTTCCAAGGGCACAGAATGTAACAGAATATGTAGTCAACTTGGGCATGAGAACGTTTCCTAGTAACAGCAGAAACAACATATATGAGAAATTTTCCTTATAATATTAGTAACAGCACAAAATCTCAGACTAGGCAGATAACAATTACCTAGGCCTTAACATTTTACCTAGACCTTAGTAATAAGGAAAAGATGTTTCATCGTTTGGTCACAATAAACTTTATTTATTTATTTAGTTAGTTAGTTAGCTAGTTAGTTCGGATTTTCCAGACAGGATTTATCTGTGTAGTATTGGCTATCCTGGCACTTGCTCAATAGACCAGATTTGCCTCTAACTCAGAGATCTGCCTGTTTCTGCCCCCCAAGTGGTGGGATTAAAGATGTGTGCACACCATGCCCAGTCATAAGCATTTTTTAAAAATTTAGCTTTTTCATCAAGATTTCTTTTTCTTGCTGGACATGGTAGGTCACACCTTTAGTCCTAGCATTTAAAAGGTAGAGACAAGCAAATCTCTGTTGAGTTGAGACCATCCTGATCTACATAGTGAGTTCCCAGCCAGTTAGGGCTTCATTGAGAGACATTGACTCAAAATAAAACTGAAAAGAAACACCCAATCATAAAAAGAGTTCTTTCTATTAATTCAGCAGAGAACCAAGAATAGCCAGTGAGACCCCCAGACAGAGTTATTAATTTAACAGGCTGGCAAGCCAAGGACAGGTAAGATTCTGCACAGAGCCTTACCAACCTAAGGCAGAAGTGCATTGCTTTTGATAATGCATAGTCCACGATGGGTAAGGAAGGCATTCTTGTCAGGACAACCTAAGACAGACTCAGTCATGTTTATGCAATAAAAAAGGGGGGGATATGGAGAGCTTTTGAGCCTGCCTGGCAGGAATCTGAAATGGGCCAAGGACAAAGAAGTAGGCTTCAGGCAGGAATCTAAATCCTAGGCTAGACCAAAGAAATAATTTCAGGCAGGAATCTAAATCATAGGCTAGAACAAAGAAGTAATTACAGGCAGGAATCTAAATCTTAGGCTAGAAAAAAGAAGTAAGCTTCAGGCATGAAAATGACTTTGGGCTAGGACAGGGAAGTAGGCTCAGATAGTTTGGTCATCCTGATAAGCCCTTAGAAATAGTGATCACGGAAATGATCACAGGACTCTGTTTACTGCCTTATTTGTTCTTTGACTATTGGGGTTTATTTATTATCTTGCTTGTTCCTTGACTATTTGTGTCTATTGTATTGCTAGTTCCTCAACCTAGAGCTGACCGTAGTACTTGCATGAAATTAAAATGGTATAAAAGCAAAAAAGGAGGAGGAGGAATGGGATGGGGGTTGGGGGAAGGGGAAAGAGGAGAAAGGACATAACGTCTGAAGTGTAAATAAATAAAATATCCAATAAAAAAAGAATAGCCAGTGAGGTAAGTGAATTAAGAGCCAGAAGTCTGAGACCCGCCCCTCTCTCCCCAACCTCCAGTTTGTAGGCCCTTCTGTAAATGGAATTGTGTTAAGGTCTTGCCTCAGGCTGCTCAGAACTGGAGGGTATTTGCTTCTTTCTTCAATGGAAACTGTGAAGGAAGAAGCTCTGGAGACATGACTTCTCATCTCCTTGACTATTAGCTCAGCTTTTTCAGAAGCTAAAGAGAAGTTGGGGTCACACTTTGATTGATACTGGGGAATGGGCTTCTGTTCCTGACCTAGGTTCCTGGAGAGGTCTGAGTGACATTGTCTCATGAGCACAGTAAACCCATAGGGCCACAGAATCCTTTGGGCTGAAATCTGGCTTGCAAGCCACAAGGTCCCAGACCATCTACCAACACTCCCTGTGATTCAGGACATGGTACAGCCTAGAGCACTGGTTTTCAACCTGAACATTGAGATCTCTTTGGAAGGACCTGCTTGGGTTTCTTCTCTTGAGCCTTTCCAGTCCCATGCACTCACTCAAATCAATCTTCCCACATTCAGTGCAGGGTTTCTGAAGTATCTCAGTACTAGCACCCTTGCCCAGCATCTGTAAAACACTTACTTCAATAAAGAACAACCCAGCAACTTGGCAGAACCCGCCCCGGGCCTTCACATCTGTCCTAACTTTGCCCTGCTTTGGCAACTTTGGGCTCGCTGCCAAAATAGGAAAGGCTATCTCGTCTGACACAGGGAAAGGCTGATGAGCACTGGACACTGCAGGGGAGAAGCTGGAGTGGGCCTAGGCCCCTGTCCAGCAACAGAGAAAGTCAAAAGGTTGGGGATCCGTGACCAACAGGAAGACTTCGCTCCTCAACCGGCACACCTGGACAGCGGAGGGAGGAGGAGCTGGCTGTCAACAAAGTAATTTGGACTTTGAGAAAGGAACTGAAGCCTGGGAAGGCGGGGACATATTTGCCTCAAGGCCACCGGGCAAGGGAAGGTAGTATCTGAGCTGAGGCAGGAAGAGGAGGAGGCCACAGAGGAAGCATGGGTCACCCTCGCTCTTGCTGAGCGGGCGGGCGGGCGGGGCGGGATCCGCAGGTGAGCGGCGGGGCGGGGCGGGGCGCGGCGGCTGCGTTTCGGTGCCGGGGCGCCGCGGAGGCCACTCGCAGACACAGGCCACAGTCGTGCCCTAGGAAGACTGAGGCGCCCCCCGAGTCATGGCCCGCTCGGCCTGCGGGTTCTCGGTCGCACTGCTGGGAGCCCTGCTGCTGGGCGCAGCGCGCCTGCTTCGCGGGACAGGTAAGAGCAACCTGTGGCCAGGGAGGTGCGTGGAGGTGGCGCGTGTTCTGGGGTTGCGCGATCCTGACCAGGTAGCACAGTCGTAGATGGTGGGGTGAGGTCCCCGGGACCACTCGCCCTGCGCTCAGGCCGCGGCACGAGGGAGACTCCTGGACCTGGGTGAGCTCCGCTGGCCCAGGAACAAATGAGCGCGCGGAACAAGCCTTGGGAGGACGTTCTCAAGGTAGCCAGAGCATTGTGCCACGGGGACTTTGCTGAGACTCTTAGGGACACTCAGAGAAGTGAGTGCAAGAAGAGTTCGAGTTCCCACTGGGGTAGCTCTTCACCTGTCCGCGCGGCCCGATTATCCCGAGGCCTAGGAGCACTATTAAGGACAGCTTCAAGTGGACACTCACCGGCCGCGTGGACAGCAGCGGGCATCTAGCTGCAGAGACCCCACCGGTGCCCCACATCTTCCCTGGTGGAAGGTTGGAGTGTAGTTCCATGGAGCCTGTGAATTTCGAGTTGTTTAGGTTGGGAGTAGAGGCTGCCCTGACCCTGGAGATCTGCTCCAGGAAAGAACCGGAACTGTGGGCCTTAGGAGTAGAATACCGAGACTAAAACTAGCTTTCTTCAAATAAGAACTTGATGGGAGGCTCTTTCTCAGACTCGCACAGGTGTTTATGTTTTAAAAACAATACTGTCCAAATCGTAATTGGGGTCTGTAATATCAGTACCGAAGGGGGGTGTTTATGTTCGACAGGTAGATAAATTAGCATAAATTAAAGAATAAAATTGAAATGGTGTGGTTAGACTGGGGTGTAAGCTGCAGGAAAACTTCCTGGTTTCTTTTTCCAACATTAGGTGACAGACGTATAACTGCATAGTAAACAGGAAAACTTAAGATCTTTAAAACTACACACACAGACACACTGCGATATGTGTTTTGTTCTTGCTAGAGTTTGGTTTCTGTTTTTTTTTTTTTTGAGGCAGGGTCTCCTGGTTTCTCCCAGGCTGGCCTTAAACCCACTGAGTTTCATGCTCCCACCCTATACTCCTAGAATTCATTACAGATGTGAGCCACCACTCTCTCAGAAGTGAGTTTTCAATCCATTTGAAGGGCAGAGTACGTAGTCCAGTTTGTAGCGTGCCTGCCTAGCATGTACAAAGCACTGGGTTCAATTGCCAGCACTTTATAAACTGGGCATGGTGGCTCATACTTGTGCTCCTAGCATTCTGGAGCGGAGGCAGGAGAGTCAGGAATTCAAGGTCATTCTCAGCCTCACTGTGAGTTCTTTACGGGCCTGGGATATATGATTTTTTTTTTTTTTTTTTTTTTTGAGACAGGGTTTCTCTGTATAGCCCTGGCTGTCCTGGAACTCACTCTGTAGATCAGGCTGGCCTCGAACTCATGACATTTTGTTTTAAAAACATTTTAAGAGTAAATTTAGGGAAGGAATATTTGTGTGCATTTGAGGAGTGGGGAGGGTGTGTCAGCACTCTCGGGGGCAGGTGACACTCTAGGAATTGTTTTTCAGGTGTTTCTGACTTTCTATCATAATGATTGAAAACTTCTCCAGTGGGAATATGGTGTAAATCCAGTAAATCGCTGAAGACAAGACCTTTGGTCTGCTCTGAACTGGCTGTTGTCTGTCTATACCTCAGGAGAAGTAGAGTTTATCCTTAGACCAGTAGGAGTGACATTAGTCTGGGAACATGGATTCTTGAAGTGGTTACATGAATTTTCATAGTCACAGGACAAAAGAAAGTTATCAATCAAGGCATTTACTACATACATTGGTGGGAATATCAAGTAGGTGGGTTACAGCCAGGGTTGAAGTCCCTGGGCAAGGTCTCAGATACTATCTGATGACATTCCTGGCTGTTGGGTTCATAGAAACTAATGATCTCCTAAGTTAATATAATCAAAGAGTTTTTACCTGACGGTAAGGAAGATGTTAGGTCAGATGTAGAGGTGGGTGATAAGTGGTTGTTAAGGGGACTAAAAGATTGTCCAGGATCCTTTTAACTCTCAATCAGCAACATCCAGCTCTCCACATTTAAGAAGTTCAAAACAGCCTGTCAGTCTGCAGGATTTTCGGCACAGATGTGGCTTTTCAAAGAGCTTCACCTCACATATCACACGTCCTACTCCCCGAGACACGGAGGCTGTCATTTAGTTCCCAAGAGCTCCAGTCCTGTCTTCCAGGAAGCTCTGAGCTGAGTTCTGTAAATAACAGGAGTTTAACCAAATCACTTTCTTCATCTGTGACCTTGGGAGCATGGCCCCACGAGGTCACATAACAGGTCAGCTGATCAGTGGCCTAGTTTTCCTGAACTCAGGCTCCAAGGAACCGGTGCGGCCTCTGAGTTATTTGTACCGGAGCCGGGTACAGTGGGTGTGTTAACAGAGTGGGGATGAGCTTAGTGTCGCTATAGATGAAGAGCAAAGGGAAACATGAGATTGGAAGAGGCATACTTGGTAGTCCCACCAGGCCCTCCTGGCCAGGAGGGAGTGATTAGAATGATAACCATGGTTTAGAACACCATGCTGATTGCTTTTAAGAGCCACCAGGTCCCAGAGTCCATGTCTTGCTGCCACTGCTCTCCCAAAACTGTAACTGACACAAATTCAGATGATGGCCCCGGCTGTTGTCTGGAATGTGTTACTAGCAGGAGGTGGAATCCCACAGCCCTCTGCCACACCCCACAAATTTCCCTAGGGTGAGTCACAGGAGACAGTCAGGGCTTCATGTCACCCACAGGCTCTCCTCAAAGTTTACCTTTGCTCACAGATAATGTTTTGTTTCATTTTGGTTATGAATATTACAAACTTTTCTAGAATAACTGTGATACTTAAAACTTTTTTTGTTTTTAGAGCAGGGGACTATAGCTCAGTAGGCAGAGCTCTCACCTGGGTTTAATTCCTAGCACTGCATAAATGAGCCATGGTGGTGCACAAATGTAATCCCAACACTTGGACGATGAAGGCATCAGAAGTTCCAGGTTATCCTGCATAACAAATTCCAGGTTACACTGGGTTGAATGAATGAACACACACACTACAATTTTCATTCTGATAGGCCTATCAGTATTAAGAATTACATGGCACAGGGCAAGAAAAATGGCTCAGTGGGATAATAAGGCATCTGTCACCAAGACTGACTACTGAGTAGTACAGGATTCACATAGTAGTAAAGAGGCTACTCTCCAAGTTATCCTCTAACCCCCACACACACTCACACACGGAGGCACACACACAGGCACTTGCACACACACACTTACACACAGAGGCACACACACAGACGACACATGCATGCACACACTCACACACACAGGCACTTGCACACATACACACAGAGGCACACACGCAGGCACATGTATACACACACACAGAGGCACACACACAGGCACTTTCACACACACATTCACACACAGAGGCACACATGCAGGCACATGTACACA